AATTACTAATAAATATCGGTATATATATTGTATATATTCTCTAAAACAGCACAGAAACACTGATGTCATTGAAAATCAAGACTCTCCTCTTTTGCATCTAGACCATGTTTTTTTTCAAATTAGCTTAATGATGTTATCAATTGATATTTTTTACCCAGCCGTGCATCCGCTTGCCCTGTCGACTGTTCGTTTTTTTGGACCGTTATGTGTTGTTACAACCCATTAACTCAGGGTGCTCACCCATTCCTTGTGATTAGAATACCGAAACTATAACCGCCATCACAGACGCAATAAAACTTTTACTACACAAACTTTTCTTATTAGAAAGCTTTTGCGCTGTTTTCTTACTGCTGGTAAACAAAATTTAAAAGTGTAGCTGATCATGAGTCATTTGTAAACGCAACGAAGAAGTTGTAAATTACAAAAAATTAATAATTTTACAATGGAATAACGGTTACTAAGGTATTATCAACGGACCGTTCGTGCGATTTCCAGGCAACGAAATATAAACGGATCGTCCCACTGCTCACTCTGATTTTGCTGCATGAAATACAGATAAGTATCTCAATTTGAAAACACTCAGAATCTACAAATATCGCTTGTGCTTTCAGGGGACATCTTTAAAAGAAGTACCACTATGCCGCCTAGCAAAACACCTAATAGGCAATGAAACAAAACACATTGGAATACTTAAGACGGATATGTTATAGCAAGTAAAGACAGTTGCACAGTTCTCCTCTAAATGACCCAGCTTTTAATATTCATTTCATGTGTGTATCAGATGTATGTTCTACAATGCACAACCACTAATATTCTGTCCATGTAATGTAGGATAAATCATCAAAACACATATTGATTTTGAGATAATCCAAAGTGTTAACATTTGTGTTTGTCGGTGTCCTGTGAAATCTACCGAGTCATGCAAATATGGATTATAGTATTGGCAATAAGGTGTGACCAGAGGTTGTGTATCTCCGCAGTTGTGTGATTGGATTATGGTCAGCAACACGTAGCAACACCCAACACGCAGTGAGTAATATATTTCACATTATTAGTAACCTGCACATGATATTGATATGTATTGTCATGCAATCATTTCCTTTATGGCGATTCGCGTCCGTCATCTGTGAAACTATGAAACATACACATATGCGTACAAGCTCGTGTTATGAGCCAGTAACTTACACGTACGACGTAAATATCACCAAACATAAACAGAGAGAGATGTTAAAAATCACTCGTCAAGGACAGGCTCCAGGTTGATTTTGAAATCATTCTGTACTGGCGTCAAGTGCGCAGTTTGGGATAAACTCTTCCGGCGTTAAAACATGATAAAGGGCTATATATAGAATATCAGATCATAATGATAGTATGTTGGTTCCATCAGTTGAATTGAGTTGGTAGCAAAATAATAATTGCCATATATAGTACAGGGAATGTTTATACTTTCTGAGCAACTGGTCTCAAGCCCGTTTTTTTTTGTGTTACTTAATAAAATATCAGATACGTATTTGTATTATTTTTCTGACTTCAGTGTTGACCAGATTTTGGGGTTCTGATTTATGGTTTGTTGCTGTTGGGCATAGGTATGAATAAACCACATATAGTTGTAATTGAAAAAAAAAAGTTATATTGCATCTTAGACAAGAGGGATGATTTGTTTCTATTTGTTGAATCATTACACTGCTTGTTCAGGGAATAGTCAAGCAAACCGGCGCAAATTGATGTTGCACGTCATATAAATAAGGTAATGAAGCCTCCTGCAAAATAATGTAAAAAAAAGTGATGTTGTTGTCAAGTACGGACATTTTCTTTTATAAATTCCACATTTAAATGTATATAACTAGCAATTGTTAATTAATGAATGTATGGCATCATTAATAACTATATGTTTCAACTATAAAACTTTCCTGGTTGTCATCATTGTCATGGTAACATAAACATGATTTTTTATTTCATATGCCTAGTGGAACGGTATGCTTAAATATGTTGGTTTGTAATAACTTCATGGGCAAACTTGGGTGTTCGATTTCACATTTGTACCACACGCAATATAGTCTAGCACTTGTTAAGTTGTCTTCGTAATTATTATAAACGTGAAGTTTCAACGTTGAGTTTTGTTTATAATTGAAAATAAACTTTCCTACTAATTATCAAATAAGAACAAAGTTTTAGTCGGATAAATGGGCAAATTTCGCGTTATATCTCTATCGGTGGTTATCGTGTGGGAATGGGAGATGGATGTTGTGAATCCAGAAATTTATTCGCTAGTTGCCTTGGTTCCCCATGTTAAAGAACAACTACGCGATATGACAAAACTCGCTGATAGAATTAATTTAAAAGTCAATTTTACGAATGTGTTTCTAAAACCGGAAATATATTGATTTCCTCAATAATAAATAACGTATTGCGGAAGCAATAGGCTTTGTGTCTGGAACGCAAGCGATAGTGCGCCATCAACGGAGCTGATGTGCGTAATGTGATGTCACTTCTTGTTGCGCGAGGTGTGACGTCACTCCATCTTCAAGGCGTCACAACAGAAATGTAAGTGGTCTTTCTTAGTGTGGTAAATTGTGGAAATAATATTCATTTTCACCTCCCTCCCACCCATGATTTGGCCCCACACTCAGTGACGTTAACTTTGTAATTTGTTCAACAAACTTGACTTGCTACTTTTAGTCAAAGAGTTAGGGATTTTAGAAAAACTTTGTTTATTCAATTAACTTGATATGTTACATTGTATTCAAGATTTTTCAATAACTTTTTCGCTTATTCAAGCATTTTGTTCACTTTACCCAAATAGTTAGGGTTTTTGAATAAACCGGCCACAACTGGGGTATCCAAAGTACGGTAACCCAGTTGTGGTCCTTTTTTCAGCCAAATACAGGTGTATTTCATTGTGTAAATGGGTTCCAGACACAAATAAATTGCTTAGAGGTGGCTACACAGAGTATAACAAAACGAATGTATAAGATAAATAACATCTTCAGTTTCTTACCGTGTGATATCGGATTAAATGTATATTTTTAATCACGGTGTAGGTGTGGAATTTGTGAATTGGTCCTCCCTAATTAATGTGTGTTTGTTTTATTCCCTTTGTATGTCCAAATGTCAAATACAACTAATCTGAAACTACTTACAGTTACAATAACTATGACCTGACACAATACAGATATCTCAACTATAATTGAACAGAAAGAACACCTGTGTGTACCTTGTCTACAGTTTCTTGTGTGTATAATGGATTGTTTTTGTAACATGATGGCACTATTTATATGCGTTGGTAAATATGGTTATGTCACAATAACATGAACCGTATCGCAAATAGATTATGACGTTGATTTGATTTATTCAATAGTGTTCAGCAAAACACAAATAAAACTACTGTTTATACTACAAACATTATTGTATGCGTGCCATTTGCATATAAATGTTTCTCAACACAATATGTCACTAGGTTAGTTTGCTTCAATGTTTGATCTAATTAAGAATGAGTCAATCCCTTCTCATGTGCTTTTAAATCAGGCATCTGACATATTTATTTAGTTATGTAATTCATCTTGATTTTTACACATTTGAGTGTGTTGCAAACCTTCCACAACTTGCAAAATAGGAATTGACACGTTATTTTAAATATAATAGTTCAAGTCAAGTGTTCAACATTATCGGTGTCTGAAAGATTAAGCTTTCTTAACTGATTTTTCCATTAGCTCCATAAATGTTTACTCTTTTTACTGATTTGACTTTGTTGTTTAATGTACTTGTCAGTTAATTGTTTTGTTCTTGTAGTTTTTTTATTGTCAGTCATTTGTTTTGTACTCTTAAACTTTTAAATTTTCTTATTTTAAGCGATTTATAATTTGGTATGTTTTTTTTTCTATTTTTTCTATTAAATTAGCAGTGGCATATATTAATTTGGCAACGTTCTACCTGCAACCTTGGAAAATGTGTTGTGCTATTTTGATACAATAATTCATCTATCATTCATCATATGTTTTGATGTTCTTTGTACACTCTATATTGAGATTTCAGTTGGCATCATAATTTGCTCCTACTGTGCATTACTTCCGTTTTGACCCCACTTCTTTACATAAAAAAAATGAACCATAGTTTGTATAACTAAAACACACAACAGTCCTATCGTAAAGATGTATTTTACAGAATGTGCTATGACGCCAAACTTATTTTAAAAATAGTAAATAAATAAATACTGATCAGACCAATAGACATGATATATAGTAGATCGATAACGAGCAATTGCTCGATACGTCTAGATATTTTCAAATAGATACTTAGGACAAAGTGGTAAGTGCGTCCTCATGTAGTGGCGAGGCGCTACGCCATGTACCAGAGTTCAAATCCTTGATGCGTGAAGTTATGTGAATATTTACCTGCCTGCAAATTATTTACATTTCCGCAGCTGATTGTCTCTGCTTGTCGACAGTATTTGTCCAGGGGATGAGCTGAGTGGTTCATATTTTATCGTGGATACTAAGCTTTATGTGTGTGTAGTAATTTCATGAATTATTTGTGTTGTCCGGAATTCTACCTGCCTATTTTTATCTAGTCGTTGTGAGGGCGTATTAACAGTGAGGGCAATTTCGAGCTGACTTGATTGGTTTGGTTAGGATGGTTGAGTGGTTAGCTTTTCTGTCCGCAACAATGAGGTCCTATTAAGTGTCAGCAACTTTGAATTTTGTGCTGTCTCTTTTATATGAATGTTCTTTCGTCTTTAATTATACTTCGGTACATATCTACCATTCAAATATAAATACAACTGTGATTGATTAAACGTCTAAATGGCGTTTGAAGAAATCGCATACGAGTAATCGCCACATTAGCAAAACCAATGTACTTTGTAAAACCCGCTTGTCAATGAATTTATATATTCATAAACAAATCTTAGTGTAATATATAACATTACAGTACTCATTACAGGTTTATTTACAAGAACACATACAAGTACTCATCTTCTGAAGCTCTCTAGTGTACCTCGAGAAATGCAGGTGAGTCACTTAAACAAATCAGTATGTCTACTCTTTTATTCTGATGTAAATGCACTAGTTTGTATAGAAGACTAAATGTATGTAAATCATTTTATCTTCAGGGTATTAATCATTAACTATATTTTTGTTACAGGAAAAGCCTGAGAAATGGAACGATGCTACAAAACGTGAATTCATTGGAAGTGCTTTTGAGAATGGGTATTGCAAGAAAAAGTGTAGTTTATTGGTTCTGATTGCAATGATTTGCATCATTATTCTGACGATTTCTGCTTCTGGTGAGTAGCGGTTGCGTTGAGCAATTAATTTCATTGAAATTGGAGATAAGTTTATCACAATGATACCGATAATGCTAGTCATATCATGTCATAAAATATTCAATTTTCAGTCGATGGTAAAACACTGGGCGACATGAAAAACTTCAATGGAATGACTAAAACAGGTAGATATCATTTATTTATAATACAGTCATGTATGAAAACAAATATCTTATATTAATATCATTTTATTGGCAAAAGACAAAACCAAAAAATTGTATTCATTTGCGTAAAAGTGGGTATTACGTCAAATGTACATCTTGAAACGATTCATGTATATGTAGCAATAAATTTGATGACCATGAATTTGACATACTGCTCACGTATTTATAACTGTTTACCACTGTAGGTGTATTGAAGAGAGAAGATGTCACACCAGGTATTGAAATTTAGTTTAATATAACATTGATGTTATTGCCACACCCTCTCTGATTTTGATAAAGAAATCAAATGATCAACACTTAGCAGCTACAGAATGCTGAACTGTTCACACCTTACCTTGACACCCCCACATAATCATCACAATCATCACAGTGACACAGTCAAATTGTCTCCTTCTATTGCGAAGATGGGCAATTAAATCTGAAAGTGCTATTCGTAAATTATACTGCATTGAATGAAGTACTATTAACACGTTATGTAGTAACTATTCAGCAACAATGTGCTTAGTATATTATCATACATGATGTAATACACCAACTACTGTTCATAATACATATATTATTTATAATAAAAACATATCATGCATGAGTGGGTATTGGGATAATATGGTAATTGGATGAATACTATCTATACTATTTTTGTAACAGCTATCTCACTACTATTCATTTATTAGTATATTATTGTTTACAGAAAGGAATGACATATCTGATGATGATGATGATGATGATGATGATGATGATGATGATGATGATGATGATGATGATGATGATGATGATGATGATGATGATGATGATGATGATGATGATGATGATGATGATGATGATGATGATGATGATTCGTGTAATATCGAAGGAAAGCAACCTCACATTGTGGTCGTAGTAATTGATGATGCCGGTGAGTTAACTAATGCCGTACTTATGTCCAACTGTTGAAATATATTGAACTGTTTATTTAATGATAATTACTGAAATTGTGTGACATGCATGCTGGTATTGATTATAACATTGCGTCCTGCTCAATATGGGATTTTTACACGTACTAAACGCATGTAAAATACAATATTTACATGAAATTTAAGCCCGCGCTGCATGACAAACACCGCCCTTTAAATCTGCGTTACTATAAATATATGTTTAAAAAGGCCAAAAAAGGTGAAATGCGTTACACATATTAGTACTTTCATGGTGCTATTTCATTTTTAAGGTTGGAATGATGTTGGGTGGCACAATGATTTTATGCCAACTCCGAACCTAAATACACTAGCCCGGGAAGGTGTTATTCTTGACAATATGTACTCTCAGCCGATTTGTACACCGTAAGTATGAGCATCGTGTGTAAGGAATTGTAATTTATGTCATTGTAATGTCTCAATAAAGTATAATCACTTTTCAGATCCAATACATAGTGAAATGGAACATGCACGTGCACAGATACCACGCCGATTACCGACTTAATTAACACTGTGATTGGGACTTTCCGTTTTCAACTTATTTTTTATACAAACAAATACAGTATTTACAATTAAATTTATTAAAGTTATTGTTCATACATAATTTATTGAACACACTACATACTTTGTAATTTCATTCAGCTTCTTTCAGTCATAATTCACGACAAATAAAAGGCAAAATGTATAGAGAATATAGCAAATTATCCTTTTTTCTGTAATATTCTTGTGTACCGGTTATTATTAAAATTATTTATGGGTGCATAGGAAATACATTTCTTTATGAGGTATTCGGGTTTTTTGATACCAAAATACCAAAGAATGCCATGATCACGAAAAAGGAAAGTCTTTGTCCTATTGTTATTTAGTCTAATCTGAATGACTTATAGTTTTATTTTGAATTGGCGACGATTGACGCTTATATAAAAAATACCAAACCAATTCTATCAAAAACGTTGATGAATTACAAGGAAGTACCGGAACGTCGAAATATATAACTATACAATAATACCTTCGTAGACATTTTCTGGAGGGTAGTTGAACTCCATAACTCCAAGTTTTAGTTATTAGTCCCCGTTCGGACGTAGTCCGAAAACGGAGACTTATGGTTTGCCCTGTATCTCGAACATGCATGGACCGATTAGGTTCAAACTTCACTTATACATCAAACATTATATGAGACATATGGACATGCATTTGTTTCATGATCCGATTAACGATAGCCGAACAGCGGCCATTTTAAGACCGAAAATGCATCAAAATCGCACATTTTCACCATTCCGGACCCGGATCTCAGTTATGCATGGACGGATTTTGTTCAAATTTGGTACATACATTAAACATAATAGGACCTTGATGCACGTCATTTTTTTGGATCGGGTTTGAAATGGCCGACTGGCGGTCATTTTGTTTTAAAGAATTCAGTTCTGGATCCGTATCTGAGACATGCCTGGATTGATCGAGTTCAAACTTCACACACACAAGGTACATCATGTCACAAATATGTATGTGCATTTGTTTCATGATCTCATTAACGATAGCCAGATGGCGGCCGCTTTAAGGCCGAAAATGCATTGAAATCGCACATTTTCACCATTCCGGACCCGGATCTCAGTTATGCATGGACGGATTTTGTTCAAATTTGGTACATACATTAAACATAATAAGACCTTGATGCACGTCATTTTTTTTCCGCATCAAGTTCGAAATGGCCGACTGGTTTTGTTTTAATGAATTCAGTTCTGGATCCGTATCCGAGACATGTTTGGATTGATCAAGTTCAAACTTCACACACCCATGGTACATCATGTCACAAATACATATGTGCATTTGTTTCATGATCCGCTTAACAATAGCTGAATGAAGGCCATTTTAAGGCCGAAAATGCATCAAAATCACGTATTTTCACAATTCCGGAACCGGATCTCAGTCATGCATGGATGGATTTTGTTCAGATTTAGTGCATATATTAAACATAATATAAGCTTGATTCACACCAATTTTTCGTTGGATCAAGTTCAAAATGGCCGACTGGCGGCCATTTTGTTTTAAAGAATTTAGTTTTCGATCGATCTCGGACATGCCTGGACAGATCAAGTTCAAACTTCACATACACATCATACATTATATCATACATATGCCTGTGCATTTGGGCCAGTCCTTTTAAGGTCAAAAATTCGTCAAAATTGCACATATTCACCATGGGTGAATTTAGTTCACACTTCATGCATACATTGTACATTATGGTACCTTGAATCACGTTGTTTTGTTTTCCAAATCGGGTTTTAACTGAATACAGTTCAGCATCCATATCTCAGGCATGCCTGAACCGATCAAGACCACACTTCACACACATCATACAATGTGTTGTACATATGGAGGTGCATTTCGGATCAGACAAGTGGTCTGAGATTTCGGTCATGATCTGCTTTGAATGTATATGTCACTCAAATATGAACGGAACGGGGACGTGTCATTGACAATGACTTGTGTTAATACTAATAGAGCAATATTCCAACAATTTAAAACTTGCTGGTACTTTTGCTATGCTATTCATCTATAATTTAATGCAATAGCCATCTCTTTGAATTCATCCAATACAACGGTTTATCTGTAAAAGTTCACTTTTTCTAACCGCCATTGTGAATACGATTCAGATACAACGAATACCTTTCTATTGTCTAGTATACAACTTTCGTATTGTTGTGGTCATATTTTCTCATCTATATCACTTCGTTTACTTCCTTGTTCACAGGTCACGTGTAGCCTTGATGACTGGAAAATATCCTGCTAAAGTTGGAATGCAGGTACGGTAGTGATATTAAGATGTTCAGTGATAGAAATGTTAGGAAATGTTATTTTAATATGATATGATTTGATATTCAATAACGGATTACCGAGATATTTCATATTATATGTTAAAAAACCCATACATGTTGTTTGAATATTCACCATTAACCTTTTTAGTTTCAAGGTTTTCTTTGTCACATCCACAAGTTTTTAACCCACAGATTGATTTGTTTGATATATTTTGATTTGTTATAAGTTGTAGCCGATAGAAATAATTATTCCCATCTTGGCTAAAATTGACAGAAAAATATATAAATACAGAATTAAAAAACGGCGAAATGTTGCATAGAGAGATATGGCGCCAATGGTTAATGAATGGTATAATGTTGGACAAAAAAATTAGAGAAGTGTGGCAATCACATTACAACTGCGTATATGTATTTGTTTGTAATATTTGTTCAAGCAATACATAATTATCAACGCTCACTATTAACTTGCTTTACAGATGAGTGGAATTAGACATTATTTTTATTTATTTATTTTTTAAATGTTTGTGTGCCAGGCGACAGTTCCGGACAATAAATGTCACTGTTGTCTCTCCTGTCTTTTTTTGTAAGTGCAAATTGCAAGTGCTAGTCATTTCCTATTTGGGAGTACATGACAGGGCTGTGTGGCCATCTCCCTATCGAATGACAATTTTAATTCTGGCGTCAACCAGGCTCTATCGAACACAAGCATCTGCGGACCTGAACGTTACCCCAAAGTTGCATTCGCCAGTGGAATTGGCCTTCCCATGAAGTCTGCGGCACACTCACCCAGGGTAGGGGTCGACCTTTCGATGTTCAGCCTAAGGTAGGATTTAAACTTGGGTCTACCGATCATGAGCCTGATGCGACAACCACTATGCTACCAGTGGCTGGTAGGAATTGCACATTGATACATTGGTGATATCAAGTTCCATTGCACACCATTGAATAATTCTCCTGATAAGCTGCCAACCGCCATAAACTTGTAAACTGCATTTCACAATATTTTGTACGTCGATGCGCTCGCATACGTTGATATGTACCAACAAACTTTTACTGTAAACAAACTTGCTATACAACAAATAAATAAACATATTGAGGCCCATCATTGTCATAAATTTAATTGACAAATTTCTTCAAGTATAATCAACCCTCAGTATGTATCATGGCATATCCTCAGGGGCGGACATCCAGACATTTTCTACCGCCTGGCAACCCTCGCGGTGAAAACAAAGACCAAAAACTCGCAGAAAACGGTACTTTGCGATGGTTGTTGAGATTCCCCTGAACGGTGTAACAAGATTAGCCCTACGTGTGTAACATATATAAATTTGGTTGTTCGGGATTACTTCAAAGTTGAGTTTGTGTTGTTTTCTCGAATTTTCACCGGCTCGACCTGCGTTCCACAGCAGCGCGCAAAGAGCCCATAAAAATGCATGTACAGTGGTGCGCGTCGTAGCAACGTGGAACGTCTGTGACGTAGCTCCGCCCCCGAGGATTGGCAAAGGTACAAACAAATATTTGTTTAAAATATCCAGTATGGACAAGGCAGGATCGTTATCAACAAACATGATTTGAAATAAAACAAACGCCCTCACCGTCAGACAATCAATCTCGCATTCTTGCTATGTAACTTGATAATATAATAAAGGCGTTTGAAATACAGCTGCTGACTGGACGAGAATGTTTTAAATTAAGGCCCTTGATAGATCATCGCCATTTGCTTACTAATTTGTAGTACAGAACAATCGGATAGCTAGAACTTTCGTTGAGAGGGTTCATGGTGTGCACAACATATGTTTGACGATAACAAATGAACGAATATACTACTTCGCCAATATACTACTGTAATAGTAGACGGTGGTATATTACTTTATTTCAGCACTTTGTTGTGCTACCAATGCGACCTTACTATTTACCTGGTAACTATGCAACACTGGCAGAAAAACTGAAAGAGCAAGGCTATACAAACCACATTGTAGGAAAGTAAGTATATAATTTGTGTGTAATTGCACAATAACTAGCGCGGGTGCATATATTAGAATATTGATGAGTTCATTAAAATGATAAACCTAAATGTATTAAAAATGGTCCGAAAACGTGGTAATCTATTCTTCTCATAAGGATCAAAATATAAGTATGGCTTCTATTTGTCATCCGTCATGTCACTAAATATAACGTTGCCATACAAAATGATTCTACAATAATTCAACTTGCAGTATATGAGCTACTATGTGTCATCTGCCATCCCACTAAATATAACGTTGTCATTGTACAATATTTCATCTAGCACTACATGATATTTGCAGATATAAAGTTATGATGTGTATTACATAAGTAATATGCATCAACTTATTGTCCTGTGTATTTGGATAAATGCAATGGTGAAGTGTGTAGTTTTGTAATGATATAGACATTCGGAATTTACTATGAGTTGAATGTGGCTAAAGCTTATTAATATGTATAACTTGGACATTGTGTATGACATTTTTTTTAATTGTATTTTAGGTGGCATCTTGGTTCATGTGATTGGAAGTATACACCGATGTGGCGTGGATTCGATTCGCACTATGGTTGCCATGAAGGAGTGACGTCAAACTTTGAGACGCATATGCTGACATGGCCGCGTAAGTTGTGTGTCGGATAATGTCTGGCTTGTTGATATACTTGCAGAGTACATGCTGTTCATTTTGAATTATTTAAAAAAACAATTAAACAAAGAAAACGCTATTTTAAAAGACAATACATGAGAACCATTTTATAATCACCAATTATAAAGTCTCAATTCTGTATACGTATATGGTGAGTTGTGGTGTGTTGCTATCTTCGGAGGCGCAGCTACATTACAAGATGTTCCACGTTTCTAAGACGTTATCCACTGCACCATGTATTCATATTAGCTCTGCACGAGCTGATGTGGAAAGCCGGTCGAAATGCCCGTGTAAATAGCTAAATTCAAATGTATATATGTTGCACACGTAGGGATAATCTTGTTACACTGTTCACGGGAGTCTCAACAACCATTCCAAAGTACTGGTTTTTGAGAGTTTTTGGCCTTTGTTTTCACCGTGATGGTTGCCAGGCAGTGAAAATGTCCGGATGTCTTCCGCGAGAATATGTACTTATTTATACCTAATCTTATGTGATAAACTAGCGTGCATAAGTGTTCATCCATAATGTTACCACTTGACGTCATAAAATAAAAAATACGTCTTCAAATTTCAACCCAATTTTTGCTATTATTAAGCGCATAGGAGCTAGGTGATCGTAGAAAACGAAATCCATCAATTTATCGGTTTAACCAGCTTGTCTAAACAAATAATTAGTATATCACCTATTTAACCACCACCATTAAATTGTTTAATCTGTTCATATGTACTACAGCCGTTGTTGGGGTCTCAGGACGCGATTTGCGAGACAACACAGGATTGGTCACGCATGAAAATGGAACACACAACACGGTATGGATTATATGGTTTGTTATGAACTAAGTTTATGAATACCATTACATAAAGAGAATAATAGTGTATACATGATCATATCTATTCGAAATAACAAATTACGTCACTGTTGATTTTGACAGATGTTATTTTCTGAAAGAGCTGAGAGGATCGTTAAGAACCACAACCCGGAATCTCCACTGTTTCTCTACGTTCCGTATATGGCGCCACACTTCCCTCTTCAGGTAAGTACTACGGTTTAGTAGATGTGACATGCCTTTTAAATATCACTCAGCGTTTCGAAAAAAAAAACATTTCAAAAAATAATCCGCCCAGAACATATGTGGCTGTTATTAATACATCTCAACAGTATATCTAATAAAATTGCAATGTCTTACATTGATTTACAACATCAGAAGTTTCTCGGACCCCATAAAGAAACATGCAAAGTTGAAAGTTGCAAACCTATTTTTAAAAATCTTCGAAATTTTCAATTTTTTTTACCATTTTAATCATTTGGTATTTTGTTAAATAAGTAGGACATATATGATAATTTCTTCAAGCATGACACAATACACCATTTTCCGTTCACTGCGAGAATCACGCGTTATGCGTGAAATCGAACGAAAAAACAGGACAACCAAAGGTCATAGCGTCGTAGTGGCGTCAAACATCGCGTGGGATTCGACAAACGCGAAAGTATTTTTTATTTTCCCGCTTAATACTGTGCTATATACATTTGATGATGATTAAAGGTAAGGGTATCTTAACACAATATTCTCCCCTCACGTATCTCCATTACGACATTGAGCTATGAATAAAAGAAACATAAATTCAAAATCGAATCATTCTATCTTTGAGACAGACGCGCGGTCCGTGCCTTTCACGCAATACGCGAGATTTCGCAGTTGAACAGAGAATTAACTAATATCATCGGGAAATCGCTGTTAGTGAGTATTTACACTAAGAACGAGCTACTTCGATTGTTGTTATCACATACAGCAGCCTAATTATTAATAAAACCATCGGAATTGCAACCATTAAGCTTTGCTATCAACCTCGGTGTCGCAATTTAATTTTTCTGTAGGCTCCACAAGGATTCGAAGAAGCTGTACAACTTGATGATACAGATAGGCGTACATTTGCAGGCAAGCTTTTTTCCATGTGTTCGGTTTGTTTTCTCAGTTCTATGTTATATGTTGTGTTTCGTGTGTTTTTTGTTTTTACTCCCATGCGTCACATGGAAGTAATGTGAGTTACCATAGACTTATTCAGTCTTGTATGTTTTAATTTATCATGAGTTCGTTTTTGCTAAGTCTTGTGTATTCTATTACATGTCAATTTTAGTTAACAGTTTTTACTTAGAGAAATACGTAAATCATCGTTAACATCTATGCATTCGAGTCTCGAACAGTGGACGAAATTTACTGACGCTAACAGTGGATCACAATGTACTCTTTACTTGTGGCAGCATTTCTTGCAATCTTGTGATGTTCCTATATTCTATGAATGTGTACGATCTTAGGAATGATGGCAGCCATGGACCAAGGTGTGGGTAATATCACACAAGCATTAAAAGATAAGGGTATGTGGGACGACACACTCTTCGTGTTTCTCAGTGATGTAAGTTGGATATTACATATTATATACGCACACAATTCTTTATTTTTTGCAATTCCTATTTGTGATATCTACAAATTGGTTTGGAATCTCTATATTCCTAACTTAATATTCACAGAATGGCGGCGATAAGATGTTTGCTGGCTCTAACTACCCGTACAGGGGAAACAAGGCGACAATGTGGGAGGGCGGTGTTAAAGTGCCTGCATTTATTCGCGGCAGTATGTTGAAAACCTCCGGAACTGTTAACAATGAGTGGGTATTGTATTGCCTATCTGTCTTCTGAACCATTATATTTTTTTTCAAAAATCATGAACCCACTTTGTCAGTCACTTCCGCCACGGAATTCTGTCAAATGTTACGTGCACATTAATTTAATCTGGACACTGTTGTAAATATTTAGTGATTATATATTAACTATAATAATTAGTGTTATAATTAGTATTTACAGTTGAATTAAATTTCAAATATTTGTTCATTTCATTAATAAAATAGAGAGAGCTCTGTCCAAAGATTTTACAATGCATGTTACTCCTTTATACAATCAAATTAAAATTAAAGTATCAGTGGTATGTTTCATATCACCAACGGATGAATATGATATTTTGTATTATTGATTTGGCCATATGAAAGACCCGTAAGTGATACTTTCTGGAGGGTAACTTAATAATCTACGTCAATTTGTGCAATTGTCACTGTTTTTAAGCTTTTGGGGGGACAAAATTGTAGATATTCATTGATAATGAATTTGCACTGCCGAAAACTATCAAAATGCTGAACCTCTCTATTTATATAATCCATGCCGAGAAATCATTGCTGTTCGTCATTGCAGGCTATACCATTTCACTGACATTTTCGCAACATTGCTGAAAGTTGCCGGAGGAACTCCAGGTTTGTTGGTCATCTATTTATTTTTTTCTGGAAATGCATACTGATAGAAAGAAGCTAATAGGTCGTATAATAACATATAAATTAGATTATGGCATCACGTTTTGCAATGTATTACCTTTAAATTTGTAAGTCCGTATATTAAATACATGTATCGATTCATACCAGTGTGAATGGGAAGACATTATGTCTTTAACATATATGACTTTCACCAGTTTAATGTACACCGTTTATATAACACTAATAGTCATTGGCTCTTGCAGATGAAATGTCCGCATGTATCCAATATAATGACAATAATGATGAAATAAATAACTCGAATATGGTAAAAATGAAAATAGAAAACCTGTTTGCGATTTTTCAGATGAGGATATTGATGGCAAGAATCAGTGGGACAGCTTCTGTAAAGGTAAACCATCCAAACGTTCGGAAATTCTTCTTCATCTCGATGAACACCCGGTAACCAACGGTGCTGCACTGAGGTGAGATATTTTTCAATCGTGGACATTAATGGATAAACCATGTGGTATTATCCTTTCGGCTTCATTCAGTGTGTAGATTCATCAGAATCACAAAAGATGGTATCCACCAGATAGTTGTTTAATAGCCTTTGAAATTATTCATTTATGTGTTTTGATTTCAGAATGGGCGACTATAAGTATATGGAAGGAGTCACAATTAACGTCCCTATGTTACTCCCTCGGAATGACATTGAACATTTTGGTAAGTTCTAATATTCCCCAAAAGGCCGCAATGCATATGCACGTTACGACAGTTTTACGTGTTTCACTATGAGCATGGCTAAAGATAAAGTATATGGTCAACGGACTATAGCGTGTATTGCGACGAACAGCAGGAAGTTGATAACCACGTCATGAAACCTGCAGAATGCATTTATAATTGATTATTATTGTATCATTGGATTAGGCTCTATGTGGATTATGAGGCAACTGTTATCTATTGTGGAAAAATATATTTCTCTAAACTGCTCACATGATTTTGATTATTACACAATATATAGATATGTCATCATGTTATGTTATTTTAGAGACATTCCGCTAAATGGGGAACGTCACAACCATATGATTCGTACACGTGTATTTATTTGTATACACTTGTCTGCCATACTATTACGTTGTTCATCCAAAGCCCTGTACTTCCTCAACCCACAGATCAGTGGTTTACGCCAGCGGAAAACCCAGATGCTTCAACACCTGACGTACCACCGATAACGGAAAACGTTAACAATAGATATTTGTTCAACATTAAAGGTAATTGAAATGGAGAAGTGTGTGTTTGTCGATTGCGGTGTTAGTCGGGTGTTTTAGATTCAATGATTAAAT